AAGAATTTCTTCAAAGCAAGCAATTAAAACTAAAGGGAGAATCGTTTTAAAACACTTTATAATGAAGTCATCTATGTGATTTATCTTTCAGAATTATATCGTTCTAAAAGGAATTTACCTATAGGTTTGAGTCAAATATGTAAATTATATTTAAAAAAACAATAAATACTTATATTTAATGTATGCAACTTTTATTTTCTAACTGTTTCATGTTTTTGTTTCTCAGTTTTTGAAATTTATTCCAACAAATATTTAAAACTAGCGGCGTCGCCCGAGTTTTACTCGAGTGAAAGTTTGCCTAACGAATATTTGATAAAATATATTTTTTTGAACAAACATCCTCTTTTTACTGAATCAATTTTTATGAAGACCTATATATATATATATATATATAGTGTAGAAACTATATAACAAAATTATAACAGTGATTCTATATATATATATATATATATCTTTATAAAAATCGATTCAGTAGAAAGCAGATATTTGCTGAATATTATTTTTTGAATTTTATAAAGGTATATAAGAAATTTTAAACTATTTTAGGCGCGTATGATTCTTTTTCTTTGTTATTTTTCAATAAATCCATTTATACTGCCCTTACTGCAATGATAAAATAATGGGAGTTCCTGGCTTATCAGTGGTGAAACCGCACGGCGGATTCGCCAGTTTAAACTACCATAACGCTGTTATATTGCATTTTTCGATTTTCCTTATATACTGATGCTCTTGGAATTTTGAAAAGAAAATTGATTTATTAAAAAAAAAGAGAAAAATAATACGCGTCAAAATAGTTTAAATTTCCTACAACAGATGGCGCCCTAATGTATCGCATAAATAAAGGTAAATGTAAAAATATATTGACTTTAATTTAGAGAGAGATTTATATTACACTATGATCTCACCAAAAAGGCTTTAAAAATATATTATATATATATATAAATGAATGTTTGTATGTTTGTTTGTATGTCCGGTATACAAATTTGCAGTAGTTCCCTAATTCAAACCAAAATTTCCATACATTGGTAAAAAAATATGGGGAAGACGATAGGCTATTTTAAAAAATATATAAATCAATTATTAAACTATATATTCAAATTATTCTACTTAGCTCACGAACAGCGCCCTCTATCAAAGATTAGATTAAATTATGCTGATGCAAGCAAATAGATAATGGTAATAACAAACAATTATAAAAAAAAATCGTATCTGTAGATATGCACACGGGTCAATCCCGGGGCGAAGCCCGGGTATGTTCCCAGCTTCGCCGGTTTTATCCTAGTAAAGGTTTGCCTAACGAACATTTGTTAAAACGATTCTAGCAAACATCCAATACCTATATTGAATCTACACTTGTCTATACTCTCGATAATTTTAAATTTTTTCCAGGTCCCTTTAAAAATACTCGATAAGTTGAATAAAATCAATATTAATTGGTCCACTCAGTAATTCGAAGTTGAAGGAATAGTATCTTGCCACAAACGAACATTTGTAAATAACTGTATTCAGGGAAAGTACCCGGCTTCGCCCGGTTTTTACCTGAGTAAAAGTTTGCCTAACGAACATTTGGTAAAACGATTCTAGAAAACATCCAATCCACCTATATATAAATTTATAAACGTTTATAAATATTGTTATATGCGTTTGAATATATTTTTGAAACATAATTTAAAAAAAAACATTTATTAATTTTTAAATAAGATATTGTCACGCGTTTGTGGATTTTATAATTAATTATTTCTTTTTTTTCTCAATGAATTATGTATATTAATTTAAAAATTTATTTTTGTTATCATCATCACATACAATGTAATCTATATATATAAAAATGAATGTTTGTATGTCTGTTTGTCTGTATGTCCGGTATACAAATTCGCAGTAGTTCACTAATTATGTATTATTATGTATTCACTAAGTATGAATTATGTATATTAATTTAAAAATTAATTTTTGTTATCATCATCACATACAATGTAATCTATATATATAAAAATGAATGTTTGTATGTCTGTTTGTCTGTATGTCCGGTATACAAATTCGCAGTAGTTCACTAATTCAAACCAAAATTTCCATACATAGGTAAAAGAATACGGGGAAGACGATAGGCTATTTTAAAAATATATATAAATCAATTATTAAAACTATATATTCAAATTATTCAACTTAGCTCACAAACAGCGCCCTCTAGAACGCGTGGGGATCTGACGGCGGCGCGCGCCCATTGGCTGCTTTATACTCTTTACTTTTGTTTAGCTTTTAAATATCATATTTTTTCTCTACTTTGCCTATTTTTATTACTGTTTTATACTCTTTTCTTTTGTTTAGCTTTTAGAGATCTGAGATGCCTCCCAAGAAACGCAAACCTATTGGAAAAGTCCTACCAGAAGTGAGTAAAAAAAGAAATGTGCGAAGTGCTGAGACTGCTGTGCAACGTGAGCATCGTCTTAGGATTAATCGAGAAAGGGCCAGTACTTCGAGAGCGGCGGAATCCGTGGGACAGCGTGAGAACAGGCTTCAACAAGATAGAGACAGGGTCAGTACCTCATGAGCGGCGGAATCCGTGGGACAGCGTGAGAACAGACTTCGGCAAAATAGAAACAGGGTCAGTACTTCGAGTGCGGCAGAAACCCCACAAGAACATACGGCCAGGATTCTGAATGTCAGGGAAAGAACTTTGGCCTCACGAAACTCGCGTGATAGACTTTCCAATTTACTTTTAGAAGGTTTTAATTATGATTCGTGCAAAAATTACGAACAACACCCAATGATATTGCTGTATCATGTTTGATTATCAGATACAAAATTATAACGGGAAAAATTCCAAAAAGCAGAGACCACGGGTGAAACCAGTTCATTATTTTGTATGCAGGAACAAAATTCTAACAGAAAAACATTCATTCGAGCAGAAAACAAAAGCCAGATCATCTTTCTATAAAAATATCGCTTCTCAGACACAAGGTTTGGAGCGGTACGTTTCACAAGAGTGACATCCACTGCGCCAATTTATAATTGTAACGAATAGTATTTGAATAGGGTACATTTAATAGGGTAAAACCCGGGCGTTGCCCATTCGGCTAGTTTTTTATATAAACAAACGATAAAAACAACAACAATTAAATTTGCATCTTCGTTATTATAAAACAACAGCAAATTAAATTAACAATGTAAAAATATATTTTAACATTACAACATTTTAACATTTAACACACAAAAACGTTACAATATTTTCTTTAAATATATAATAATATTGAAATGCCAAGTTTTTTTACAACGCGTCTTTGGAATATTATATTACCATATTTCTAATTAAATTTATTATACTTGGAACACATTTTAGCATTTTTACAATTTATAAAAGTAATTTCACCAGAAACCGCGAGAGGCGCTGCTTGCGAGTGAAAGTAGAAAATTTGCAAATAAAATTGTAAAGAATATTTATTTCAAATCGAATTCAAACCAGAAATCTTCCCAGTAGTATAGTAAATAACTTCCTAAAGTTTCACGGTGATTGGATAATCTTACCTTTTAAAAACATTCATCGTGTGAAAAAACTGACATTCAACGTGTAAACAAACCACGTGTTAATTATTAACCAATCAAAAACTCTGCAATGAAACTGTTTGACTCAATTGTGATGGCTGTTTTGATGTATGCTGCTCCAATTTGGGCAACAGAGTATAAAGATTTATTAGACCATATACAAGATACATTTATTCGTAGGTTTTTGAATTTGCCTAGATATACACCAGGATACATAATAAGACCAGAAACAGGCCGCGTCTCATTAATAATAACAGCTCTGAAATTGACCTTGAAATATTGGCTGAGGGTGCTGAGTATGGATACAAATAGACTGCCTCGAATTTGTTTAACTAGAATGAGGCAATTATCCTGTGCTACAGGTGCGCCCATCGGTTTTATAAAACAATTAAGCAATTTACTTAATAATAACGGATCCTCGTGGCTTACTTATTGTAATGATCCTGACTCACTAAGGAATGCTATCCCTGGAATATTAAGAACTGCGATAGAGCAAACAATACAAAACGACCTAACAAGAATAACCCAATCAAAGTTATATTCCCACTATAGAGACATATATACAACCTTTACCACCGAAGAATACTTCTTAACTGAACTCCCTTTTCCTATCATCAGATTGATTGCACAATTTAGAACCCTTTCAATTTTTTTCAGAGAACACCATTTGATTTTATTGAGGCGTGAAGACCTGAAATGCACTTTCTGTGGATCAGGAATAACAACGGAGATGTTGCATTACTTATTTGACTGTGCTGCTCTGTCTGAGGAAAGACGAAAATTAAATGATAAAACGGGGCAACTTTGTCCTTCATTTCCGGCACTGATTAATGAAATATCAAGGAATAGGTATATAGCGATGGCGATATTTGGATTCCACAAGACTATATCCCGGAAAAAGGCCTCACAGTGTTCTCCCTATCCCTTGTGAACTGGCGAATCCTGTATAGGGCGAGTGGCCCCAATAAAGGCTTTTTGTTGTTGTTGTTGTATTAACCAATCAAATTCATTTATCGTCGCGACCAGTGCTGCGCTCAAGCGGTAAAAGACTGGAACTATCGCTTGTTGGTTTTTTATTTTTTTGAAAAAGCACATTAACTTTTTTAGTTTTTTGAATAGCCTATATGTTAAACGAAATCTTCAGCTACCTACATGCGAAATTTCATAATGATTGATTCAGTAGATTTTGCGCTATGCGATAACAAACATCGATTTTGAATTTCATTTTTATAGATATAATAAAATAAAAAATAAAAATAAAATAAAATAAATATATATATTTAAAATACAATATAACGCGGCTGATGATTGTAAAACGAAAATTGAAATTATACCGCGAATGTTTCTTTTATAAAAATCGAAATTTATTTTCAAAGAGAAATAGCGACATTTCTAACTTTGAGGATGAGGTATGGAAAGGTGAAACATGAAGAGTAATGGCGAACGGAAAAATAAAAAGTGTCCAGGGGCGGGAATCGAACCCACACCCTTCTGCTTACCGGGCAGGTGCCACTCTTGTGCCACCTTGTCCACTCGGCTACCCTGGACGTATTTTTCCGTTCGTAACTAATACTTAAAGTAACATTTAAAATATAATATAACGCGGCTGATGATTGTAAAACGAAAATTGAAATTATACCGCGAATGTTTCTTTTATAAAAATCGAAATTTATTTTCAAAGAGAAATAGCGACATTTCTAACTTTGAGGATGAGGTATGGAAAGGTGAAACATGAAGAGTAATGGCGAACGGAAAAATAAAAAGTGTCCAGGGGCGGGAATCGAACCCACTACCTTCTGCTTACCGGGCAGGTGCCTTGTCCACTCGGCTACCCTGGACGTATTTTCTCTTTGAAAATAAATTTCGATTTTTATAAAAGAAACATTCGCGGTATAATTTCAATTTTCGTTTTACAATCATCAGCCGCGTTATATTGTATTTTAAATGTTACTTTAAGTATTAGTTACGAACGTAAAAATACGTCCAGGGTAGCCGAGTGGACAAGGCACCTGCCCGGTAAGTAGAAGGGTGTGGGTTCGATTCCCGCCCCTGGACACTTTTTATTTTTCCGTTCGCCATTACTCTTCATGTTTCACCTTTCCATACCCCATCCTCAAAGTTAGAAATGTCGCTATTTCTCTTTGAAAATAAATTTCGATTTTTATAAAAGAAACATTCGCGGTATAATTTCAATTTTCGTTTTACAAATATATATATATATAAGGAGGATTAAAAAATATAATTTGAGATTCAATTGTTTTTAATTTGGAATTTATCGAGATTGAATATAGAACCAAAAGAAACACTGTATTTTATACCAGGAGAAGATGAAAGAAGAAATACCAGACTCTAACTAAAGTCAAGAAATTAAACTTTTCAATAAAATGAAAAAGATTTTCTGAAATATGAATCAGCACTCTAAGATTACAGAAAAGTAAATTGTGAAGGCATAGCAAAAACATCTCGAGATTTTAAGAATGCGCTCAACAAAGATGAATCAACTAGATAAAGGAAGTGACTGGGTAAGTTTATCACAGTATTTTTCTTTTTATAAGTGAATATGGACTTATGACACAATAATTTAATACTTTCCAAAACAAAATCATTCAAGGAATTCTCAAAAATTAATAGAAATAATCATTAGACATTGAATGTTTAATTCTACAATCTCTACATGGGTTGCTATAATGTTTGAAGGTCCAAAGAAATGCATTAACCTACAAATATTATGCTACTACTGAAAATATGGTAGCATCCATATACGTCAAGGAATCTAAAAATTCTCTAAAAAATAATCAATGTTGCGTTTGGGGAGTTCTGAAAAATTTTGACGCTACTTTTTATAATTAAAAACCTGCAGTACAGGTCTGAGGAAATAGTTTGAATATAAGAAATAATTCGGATATATAAGAAAAATTATATCCATAAAATAAATTTGAATATATAATTCGTTTATTTCTTTATTATTTCCTGGAATAATACTTTATAAAATATTATTATCAAAATAAGTTTTTAAAATGTATATTTAAAATAATAATTCTTCATATAATCATTGATATATGGTTTGCTTTGATAAATATCATCATACTAGTTGCTAGTAAAATTGATAAATATAAACACACGTGAATTTCTCCAAGGCGTCTTAACGTATCCGACACTATAATAATATCTAAATAGTTTACTATGGAGGAAACTAGTTCTACGCAAAAAGAAGATGGCGATTGCCAATCGATTATCGAGGACGAAAATAAGCTGTCAAAAAGACAGAAGAAAAAACTAGCCAAGAAACAATATTGGGAATCCATAAAAAAAGAACGAAGGTTGAAAGAAAAAGAAAAGAGAAAACTAAAAAAGAAAGCAGCATTAGAAGAAGGACGTACATTAATATCCAGAAAACATTTAAAACAAGCCAAAATGAGTACATCAAGCTGCAAAATAAGAATTGCTCTAGATATGTCTTTTGAAAACCAAATGACAGAAAGAGAATTAATGAAAGCTGTAAAACAAGTCAGTAGATGTTATTCACTAAATAGAAGAGTTACAAATCCTGTCCAACTATATATAACAAGCTATGAAAAGCAAACAGAAAAAATACTATCAATTAATGGCTCAAAAAATTGGGATGTACATCTATGTGAAAAAACCTATATGGAAGAATTTTCAAAAGAAGAAATTGTATATTTAACTAGTGAATCAGAAAATGTATTAAATGAATTAGAACCATCAAAAATCTATGTAATTGGTGGACTAGTAGATCATAATAGATTAAAAGGCCTAACATTTAATAATGCTATTGAAAATAAGATTAATCACGCCAAATTACCTTTGGATGATAACATTATAATGAGTAGCAGACGAGTTTTAACTATTGATCATGTTTTTCACATTCTTCTAAAGAAAACAGAAGGAGAAACATGGAGTAATGCATTTCTTCAAGTAATTCCCAAAAGAAAAGGAATTCAACTCAAAGAAGATGGTGCTACTAAAACAGACGATGAAACAAGTGATGATGAAATTAATGAAACAACCAATGATAAACAAGCAGAAGATGATGAAATTTTGCAAGAATGAATTTTTATGTACGTAAGGTAATACATATATTCCACTATGTAAATATATTTTTTATTTGTTAATAAAGTTTTAAAATATTGAACATGTAATTATGTTCTCTAATTTTTCATTCTTATATTAAATGATGCTCTTTTTTTTGTTGTTAAATCATAACCTGGGTTGTTGAAGAGATTTCAGAGCACCTCTTTGTTTATTGCAACAATTTGTTATTGTGATGGCTGTGAACCTGTAATTATCCCTAGAACACGTGGTACAGCCATGATAATCATGGTGTATATTTAACTAGTGAATCAGAAAATGTATTAAATGAATTAGAACCATCAAAAATCTATGTAATTGGTGGACTAGTAGATCATAATAGATTAAAAGGCCTAACATTTAATAATGCTATTGAAAATAAGATTAATCACGCCAAATTGCCTTTGGATGATAACATTATAATGAGTAGCAGACAAGTTTTAACTATTGATCATGTTTTTCACATTCTTCTAAAGAAAACAGAAGGAGAAACATGGAGTAATGCATTTCTTCAAGTAATTCCCAAAAGAAAAGGAATTCAACTCAAAGAAGATGGTGCTACTAAAACAGCGACTGATTATGCTGTAAGTGCACCACATGTCTAAACATGTGAAAAGCAGTTCGACTTTGTAATTACAAATGTGCCAGAGCCCTGTTTGGTTATTTGCACTTGCTGGTGGGGTTGGACTTTTGCAAGAATCAGGGGCCATTTTTTTTTTTAATTAGAAAAAAGTGCCCAATATGGGATTCGATTCCGTGTCGTAGTGGTAAAAAAACCAATGGTTTAGACCAGGCCTGGCCAACCCGCGGCTCGCCATTTAACTTTATATTTCTTTTGTAACTTTCATTTCTCGTCTGTATATTCAAAAACAGAAAATATATTGAAATAATTATAATAATTCCACATTAGATAAGACTAAAATTTAATTGAAACAATAAAGAGTTTATTCGTAAATTACGTATTTTATTTCTTTTACATTTCTTAAAGCATGTTTCCATAAAATTCGGCCCTGTAACATTGCTCCTAATCAAAAAGGCCTGTGGCGTCATTTAGGTTGGCCAGGACTGGTTTAGACCTATGCTGTGAACCTAATCTAAATACAGTGGTACCTCGACATACGAGTTTAATTCGTTCCGCAACCTTGCTCGTATCTTGAATTACTCGTATCTCGAAGCAAATTTCCCCATACAAAACAATTGAACTACCATTAATCCGTTCCAACCTCCAAAATGTCACCCCAGTTATTTTTGTTACGTGGTTTTAAATAATAAAAACGTATTTATAAATATCAAATATTTATTGCACAAAAACAAAAAAGAGAATGTAAAGAAATAATTTAGATATCCTCACTGGTCTTTGCCTTTTTCGCTACATTTTTCTCGCTTTCACCTGTAGGCCGTTTAGAAAAAAACATGTCCAAGGAGGTTTGTTTCTTCCTCCCTCTCAGAATGTTCCAGAAATGAGTTAGGCAAGTGTCATTAAAAAGGTCAGATGCACGACCTGTTGCAACTTTTTCTGGGTGTTTTTTTTTCCACGAACTGTGAAACTCTCTCCCACATTCCTAAGATCTCTTTTATCTCACTTGTAGAAATAACCTCCTCCTCTGACTCCTCAAAACCAATTACTTGCATAACCTCAGTATGCTGCTGTGACTGTAACTCTTGTATCTCCTCAGTCGTCAGTTCCTGGGTGTGCTCCTCGATGAGCTCGTTCACGTCTCTCTCTTCCACCTCTAAACCCATGGATTTCCCCAGAGATACAATCTCCTCCTCTACTGAAACACCGAGTTCCAATTCTTCATAGATCCTTTCAGCTACAGCTTCAGGCCACAGCTTTTTCCATGCAGAGGTCAAGGTCCTCGTTGTAACTCCCAAACAGGCCTGATCGATAATTTGTAGGCAAATCGCTATATTAAAGTGGTCCTTCCAGAACTCTCGAAGGGTGAGGTTTGTGCTCTCCGTCACTTCAAAGCAGCGCCGAAACAGATGCTTGGTGTATAGTTTTTTAAAATTAGAAATCACTTGCTGGTCCATGGGCTGCAGGATAGGAGTGGTGTTGGGTGGTAAGTAGAGAACCTTTATGAATTTTAACTCCTCGAGGATGTCATCTTCGAGGTTTGGTGGATGAGCAGGGGCATTGTCGAGGATGAGAAGGGCTTGCACAGGTAGGTTATTTTCCTGTAGATATTTCTTAACAGTAGGGCCGAAAACCAGGTTTACCCACTCCACAAAGAACTTCCTGGTGACCCATGCCTTCGGGTTCGACCTCCACATAACTTGCAGTTTTTCTTTCAAAATCTTATGTGATTTAAATGCTCTGGGGTTTTCCGAATGGTACACGAGCAGAGGCTTGATCTTGCAGTCGCCACTCGCATTGCCGCACAGTGCTAGAGTCAATCTGTCCTTCATAGGTTTGTGGCCTGGCATCATCTTCTCCTCTGCCGTTATATATGTTCTA